TTTCAGTCGTCCTGGTCGTTCCGAGGTTGACGGTCGGTCGGTCGGCCAAACCGTATCTTATTTTGACAGCCCCGCAGCCACGGCGCTCCACGGCTGGAGGGGGTAGGCAGACCCGCAGCACTCCGGCGGGGAAGGACACTGGGCGGGCGGGCTGCCTGCTGCCTCTAAACCTACTGTCTTATTTCGTTCTGCGTCTAATCTGACACGATTTTTCTGTGTGCCTTACGGCCAGGTGGAACGACTGATGAAGTTAATAAACTTGCCCGTTAGTGGTTTGGTCATGATTTAATTTGCAGAGGCAGAGATGAATGCTGAAAATCGTCCCTGTTTGTGTCCACATAAATGTAGCTAGAAACCCGGCGACCAGAGTCAGATTAATACGACCCGACTATAGAAGATCTTTTTTCTGGCATCATATGATATCCGACACTTTCGCACGCAGCTTCATCCGCATCAAAACTGTCGGCCCTGGGATCAAATCCCAGCTGGGACAAACTTTTTTTTTTTGTCCCTTCTTGTCCCCTGTTGGGCAGCACCGAGCTCAAAACTCCAACCGGAAAGGGCGAGCTGGCATCCGTGCGTGCTAAAGCGTGGCAGAGCGTGCGGATGGTCGGTAGTTCGAATCTCGTCCGCGGTCATTTTTTCTTGCTGTGCTGGCCAAGTGTCTTCGGGCGTCAGCGATAGCCGAGACCTTGATGCCGCCGGGAGCTGTCGATCAGTATCGCTCCTACGTGGCCAAGTCGGCGGTACAATTCTTTGTTTGATACCTCAAAATGCTAGTCGGTGACTGATTCCTAATTATCAGACTTGGATTGATTCCTTTTTCAAATGTGCATATTTACGTGAATGTAGTTGTGCAGGCAACACAGCTAAACAGGAGGCAGTTTTTGTTCCGCTCCTGATTTCTCTTTGGATACTGTGCCCTGAAAATTAGCCAAATTCTAAAGGAATAAGGTGTAAGTTTTCAACAAAAAGTAATTATACAACTTGTATTTATTCACTTCCCAAAATCCAACCAGACAAAATTAACAAGATATATGATAAACTCCAAACACGGGTTGTAATCGTCTTGGGAAGAAAACAATTTCTGTCATTCTAGATTGAGTGTTACAGGCAGTTAGTTCACTGGGAGTTCTGACACACCAAGTAAGTGGCTTGCCAAACCGTCACCATGTAGGTGCACATGAAAGATGTTACATAGATTGTGTGCACTGACAGAATACCAATACTTGTTAAAAAAACTCATCAAAAACAAAAAGGAAATCACAAAAGTCTGAGTAAAATTTGACAGGTCTACATATAACACACTGCCAATACAACTAAGAATCAATTAAATAATAAAAATGTTGATTGAGAAACATTTGTCTACAAGTGAGCAGAAAAAAAAAAACTGAAGCAGTTACACAAATGAAGTGGATGACAATTATCAACTAAGATAACCATAAAAAGAAAATACACATAAGAATTAGGTGTTAAACAATATCTAATCTAGGCCATTTTCCTATGTGATAAAAAATAATTAACACAGCAAATAAATAAATACAATAGGTTCACACGATATATACATGTTGGGGTAACATATACAATATATAAAACTTTCCCAGTGCGCAGCTTCTTAGTCTCTTATAAAAGTTAGAGAAGACATCTTGCAGAGGAAATTTTTGTCATTTGGGTGATCTTTAAAAAAATAAATTAAGTTAATAATTTGTTGGGCCAACTCAGAAACCAAGGGGAAAATAAATTATCTTTCAGCCCAAGTAATTTCTTATCTTTCAAATTTCTCAAAAAGGATATACAAAAATATTTTATCAATGTGGTTCATTACCCTGTGCCATCAGACTGCACAAACTTTTGTCATCACATCTAAACTAAGCGTAACAATTTATTCAATCCAGTACAAAGAAGCAAAAGGTCTCCCATTAAACAAGAGCGATATGCTCTCTATAGTTTCAGATTTTTACCCATACAAGTGTAATTCAAGGGGACTTTGCAATTATTACAATTCTATTCTTTAAAGATGCATGCATTGAGTGAAGGCTTTCAATAAGTTAGATAGAAAACTCCACTTCAATTTGTAAGCAGATTGCAAAAGTAAAAGCAATATAACTTACTCATAGAGCATGGTGTTTTTGATTTGAATTCCAGTTTCCTTACACATCTCTACCTCATGTACATTTGATATAGCATGAGCAGCTATCAACACTGCAAGTTGTCTGGATATTTCAATATCTTAAAATAAACATAGACAAAAACAAAAAAAAGGAAGAAATTTTCAATTAACATACGTCTGTTTTGACAGTCATAAATAAAATTCAAGCAGAGCTTCAGAACGAATCCTCTGAATGGCTCCAAGACAAATTTTTCAACTGATCTTCTCAAGCTATAATCACAGTTTAAGATGTGACTGCTGGCTCATATGCATCTAGTACTTTCATGGTAAGGAGATCAAATAGTTGAGTCAGTTCATAGAAATGTGCACTCAGAACATAAGCTTTGAGCTTGACTAGGTGATTATTAATTTCTACAAACTCCAAAAGAGGAAACACAGATGTGTAAAATCTGATGTCTGACCTGATAAGAATTTTTAAAAAAATAAAGTAGAGTAGAAAATATAGCTCACTATCATTAGGGTTAGCAAAATATGAACCTATGTCTCTATGCAGAATTTACTAAAGCACCATCTCTTCAAATATAGTAATATAATGTTATGTACAAAATAAATCACACGAGTTCCCAAAACTGTTATTGAATAGCATGAAAGATAATGAAGTTTGGGGAACGTAACTATCAGCTATATCAGTGGCTTAACATTTGATCAAGTAAAATAGTCATAATAATAAAAAAATTACTGGGAATACAAATAGAAATCAATTTGAGTTTGGCACTAATTGGATATAAGCAAAAAAAGAAAGTAACATTTTGGTCAGAAGAATCCAATAAAACAAAGCTGTTTCTTCTGCAACACTTGATACATGTACTCAGCCAGTATTAAATACTATTGTCTATTACTACGTACTATCTTTTCTTAGTTTCCCCTCACACTCACTGTTGATTCATAAATAAGATACATACTGGTAATTCAATTCTGAGTTGGCCCATACAATAACAGGTGCATCATTTGAAGCTTAGAGTGTGCTGAAATATGTCTAAAAAGAATACTCCATACAGAAGCGTGTCTAACTATAGCAAAACATTCAAGTATGTACAAAATCACTAATTTCAGCATCCAATATCACTCATACGTAATTTAAGCACCATATTTTTAACAGTACACATATAAGAGCTTACATGATAAGCATTTCATTGTAGAACAATTCACTTTTCACATTTCTCTTATTCAGATCAGATCATGATCTCAAAGCCAATACCAATTGACTTTCTGCAGTCATTTAACAGAGATAGATATGTATTAATAGGCTTACATCTTGTAAGTTGATCACAAGGTTTCAAATTAGAAACTAAACTATCAGCTAGGAAATATATCTAGGGCTTGGGTAGACATTTGAGGTGCCATAGGGGTTTGACACTTCTGCCTTGTGATTGTCAAAGCTGATAGTCCTGATGTAGACACAGTTTTTGGCAATGTTGGACTCTCCTTACGTATCTGAGTCACTGTAAGAGCCTTGGGAATTTTAGGTAAGCTTTCCACTGTAATGTCCGGTTTACCAGCTATTATAGGGGAGATTTCAAGCACTGGTGAGGAGACAGAAATACTCATACTGGAGTCACTTTCAGATAATCGAGATTCATCACTCCACATGGCTTTGGCTTGATCACCAGAAACCACTGCACTGATTGTAGGTAAAGGGGAATGCTGCATGTCATTTTCGGCATCATGTACTTCAACAACTTCTAAATCATCTTGAAGAGACATGGAGGTAACTGCTGAGGAAAACACTTTCTTTTCTTTCACCTGCTTCGCAGCTTGTCGTTTTAATTTATTCTGTTGTTCCTGCTGCCGTTGTTGTCGCAAAGCTTGCAACTTTTTAAACTGGGTTATTGTAAGAGAGAAAGACTTGCCCCCTGCAGTCACATGTACTTTCCCAGCAGGAGGTACTCGAGGTTCACTGTCAACTACAACAACTGATGGAGCAGTTACACTAGATGCAGCAGAGGACGTTACAGTCACTGGGGCAGGAAGGGATTGGGATGTATAAATAGGCGTAATTGATGCAGGTTTGTTGAACGATGAAGTAGATGGTTTGGAGAAGGTTGGTTTGCTTGAAGGAGTTGGAACGATACTGACAAATGATGGTGCTCTTGAAGTTGTGACGGTAATGCTGCTCGAGCTCATAGGTAGAGATGCAGAGGATGCACCAGGCGAGGCCCTAGAAGTTGTGACAGTAATACTGTTTGAACTCAAGGGAAGAGAGGTAGATGGTGACCTATTTGGTCGAATTGAGTTGATTGGATGAAGATCAGGAACTGATGGTGGAGATGATGGAACAGCAGTTAGGCTGATGGAACGTGTCAGATTCACAACCGGAGATGATGACATTGGTAGAAATTGAGGTCTATTAGGCGGCGGAGGTGTTGCTTCCCAAGTACCCGAATTACCTCGAGAACTCAGAGTAAAAGAGCTAGATGAACTCGGTGATTTTGATGGTATGGGAGGTTTAGGTAGAATTGGTTGAAGCTTTCCAAGAGCCGATGGAGACTTATCAAGGGTTGATTTCACACTTGGCTCTGGAGTTATAGTAACTGCTGAAGTCATAGATATCGGAGTGGATATCGGGAGAGAATGGCCCGCAAGAGAAATTGCCAATTGAGTATGGGAAAGAGTTTGCTTAGGAGCTGGCGACACTTCTTGAACCGGTGTTGGAGGCTTGACAGTCAACCTGACCGGTGGAACTGATGGTACAGCTTGTGGAGTTTTCACTGGAGCAGGGATGACTGAAGTCACTTGAAGAGCTGGTTGAGAGACTGTCTGAGGGGCCAGCGGCCTTTGAACCGTCAAGAGAGGCTTCATCTGGACGACGGGCTGGGCTTTGCTTGGCACTTGCCTGCCTGGCGGAGTTTTGTCTTGTGGAGTCTTGTTGGGCAGAACCTTCCACTGCTGGCCCTTCACCTGCTGTGACTTTCCTAGGGGAGCCTTGCCTACGGGCTTAGCCGGCTGCTTCTGCTGAGCCTGCTGAGTCTGCTGAGGGCGCGGCGTGGAACCAGCCTCGCCCGAGGGAGAGAGAGACGAGCTCAGCACAGCGGTGACGGCGGCTGCCGCAGCTGCAGCTGTGAGCACCGTGCCACCTGTCAGCGCGAGGGCCAGGTCCTTGACGGGCACGGCTGGCACAGCGGGCACAGCGGCTACAATAGGAACTGGGGGCGGGGGTGCCGCTAGGGTGGCCGACAGGGTAGGGGTCGAGCTCGCCGGGCCCTGCACCGGGTGGGGCGAGGGCGAGGGCGTCGGCGGGGGCAGTGGCGTGGACTTGACGGTGATCGTCGAGCCGTACGCCTTGAGCCTGTTCTGGACGCTCCTGGTGTAAGATGTAGCTTTGGCGCTGGCATCCGCTGCGAGGACGAGTTCACCCTCTCTCCAGTAACGTTCCATGAGCACCAGGTGGCGGAGAAAGCTAGACTGGCTGCCGTAGGGTCGCTGTAGCTCCTGCCAGAGCTTCTTTGTGTCCTTGTCAAACTGGAGGGTAGAAGTGCACTTCTCCCAGGCACGGTTGACGGACGGCTCGTCGTCGGACTGGAAATGTAACTTGCAGTGCAGAGCAAGCTCGTCCTCTGTTGGGTAGAACGGCGCCAAACCTTTGCGGATGAACTCATTCCCGTTTTCCGGCTTGGGTTTTGGGGGTCTGCCAACCTTGTGGCTCCTACCCTGGGTAGTGTCGCTTACTGAGATGGTGACAGGAGGCACAGTTTCGCGTACCGTCTCTCGCTCACGGGACCGCCCACTCGAAGCCATTTTAGCCATTTCTGACTTCTCCTTTGACTTACTAGACTGATCACTGTGGCGAGACTTTTTCTTCGGCAAATCAGTGGATTCAGTTGTGTCTAAATGTATTGAGGCGTTTGATGCTGCACGCTTCCGCTTCCCTTTAGGAAGGTTCTCCTCCAAAGTTTCAACTAAAGTAAAGTTTGATGACTGAGTGGTACTTTCCTCTGCGCTTGCATCTTCATCCACATCAGCACCTTCAACCCCACCATCGTCTTCACTGTCAGAGACATCTACCTCATGATTACGCAGAATTCTGAAAATAACATAAGATCATGATATAGCATACTAATTTAAAAATATGAACTAGATAGAAAGGTCTTTGCTCGATAAAGAAGTACACTTTCATAAAGTACCTTTTTCTGTGGCTGTGAAGGAACACTTGTTGATTGGAGGACAAGTTGATATGTGCACCAGAATGTTTTACTTGTAAGGTTGAATAATACCGACAAAGTTTGCAAACAAAAAGGTTTTCGGAAAGTCTAGCTGGTATACCTGCAACAAGAAAATTTGAAACAAATTATAAAATAGAAGACAGAAATTTAAATGTAGAATAACATCTTAAAAAAGAACAAGAATAATGATGAGAGACATACCATCACGTTCAAGACATGTATTTATTTCAGAGGTGTTACTCAAATTATACATATGACTTCGGGATAGCCTCCGTTTACAAAGACCACAAACCATAAAATATTCCATGTAACTAAAATGTTCTGGGCAGAGTGGTAAATATTGCTGCGCCAACTCCAAATCAATGGGGCACTGCCAAATAGATCAATTTCAGTTAGAAAAACATGAATATAAAATAAGGGGATTATAATACTGTCTTTCACATGGAAAAAAATAAAAATTGATAAAAAATCAACGAACCTTTTTAATAACACTCTTTCTGATTTTAAGATACCACTTCTTCCTTAACATGTGCCGTGCAGGTTGAGCACAACTAATCACACTACATGTGGCCATAGGGCCCTCAAATTTTCCTTTTCCCTCTTTCCGGTGAGAAGTTGGAGGCTTAGATGATGGATAATGTGCCTTGCGGTCAACATGTCGTATGCAGGCATCACACAAGCACGAATCAAGTGCAAGATGAGTCTCCACTATAAAAATAGGAAAGGAAATGAATTACTATATAAAAGGGAAAGGGCAAGAACTATAAACATCTTAGATCAATCTGCGAAGAGGTATTGCAAAAAAGATAAATACAATACATGTTGCAGCATTTTTAGCTTCCTTATTACCTGACATAATTTTCATCTGTCTTTCCCTGCCTTTTAATTGAGCAACATGGCAAGGTGTGTCCAATAAACCAAACTTTCCAAAGCAATAGCTACAAACATCTGAACACAATCTCCCAGGATGTATTGAAAATGATGAACTCTTTTCTGGGATCACAAGATTGGTACCAGGTTTTCTGGAAAACACAATAATTGTTGATAGATACTCACACTTTTACCCAGCAGACAAGTTTAAGAATATTTTCACCACATACCCTTTTCCATCAGCTTCGGCCCCAGAGGCTGTTGCTTCCTCAATTAAAACACCATTTCCAGCAACTGAAAAG